GTGGCCGTCTAGAGACAAAAAAGTGGTAAAAATGGATTACCAATTTGGGACACGGGAGGACGCAATTCAAAGCCAAACGCGATAGATTGCGATTAGCCTGGTGAAACCCCTTACGAGATTCAGTAATCAGAGCGGGCCTGGGTCTGGGCGGGCCTAGTGTAGTGAACGCTATCGTAAATCTAATGTTTTCGCTTCCAAAGATATTGTTAAAAAAGAACCTTTGATTTGATGCTGCTAAACAATACTACTAATTTTTCTAGTTTGCTCGTAGCAAGCGTCAATTACGGAATTACGAGATGAGTGCCCTAGTGCCGAAACGTAGAGGTGGAGTCTTCTTCTTGCGATACCTCTTGGCAGGATCTGTTCCTACCCCTTGCATTTCTTCTGACTCACCTTGGACTGGTGGCGGGGTAGTGGTAGCGTCCTCGTCATTCCTTCGGTGTAGTTGGTGACGTATCTCATGGCGATATATACAAAATAATAGACAACAGAATACGTTACAATTTGTTCCCTCTCTAGACGGTTCTGCCCCGCGCCACTCTGCCCGTTCGGCACTCCTATGAGGGTTATTTGTAACGTGTAAAATACCACGTCACAATTTTTTAGTTATTTGATTTAAAATATTTGTTGATAAATAGAAAAGTTATTTGTCCTTCAAAATGTGCAAATTTGTTGTATTACATCTTTGTAACAAATGACAAGAACAATTTTCGATATTTTGTTCCTTATTCTTTTCGAATAACGAATACCAGTATTGAAGAAATTCAGTTTACTCGGTTCGAGTTAATAACAAATAAGCAAATAAGGTTTTATCCCTTATGCGGAAATAATTCAGAATCCGTTCTTATTTTTAATTGCGTTTTTCGTTATTTAATTTAACTTTAACGTAGCAGCTTTCTGTTATGCAATTACACTGTCACGATACAAACACGCTTGTTCACACTGTGATCAATCGTCTTATACAAACCCGTTGCACTCGCACCTGGGCGCGCGTAATATTTCAAAAACGAAGCTTTAAACTCTATTTTTGCAAAGGGAAATGTACAAAATCACATCCCCTACCACCCATTTCCTAGTTATTAAGAAATTAGGGACTTACACTAGTTGTTAGGCACCCCGCATGTACATATATACATATATTTATTTATTTATACAGTGAGTCCCAAAATTATTAGCACTCGCGTGAAGTTAAGAGGAATATGTAAAATAAAATGGAAATAAAATATGTTTTGATATTTTTTATTTAAATAACATAAAATGTGAACTTAATTTATTAACCCTTTGCATTCGGTTATCCCCTCAGAGGGGACATTTTAAATGCCAAAATAAAATTTTGGAGTGCAAAGGGTTAAAATTATTTGAAAAGTTATTAAATTATCATTTAAAATTCTTAAGAGCACAACCTGTAATTCGCTGAATGAATTCACCTCACAAAATTATTAACACATAAAAAGCAGGGTCCTTACACCTTTAGGATAACGTGAAGTAACTGTAACACGGAGTAACAGACAACAATGTTTATATTTAACAAAACAATAACAATAATAATAACTATGATAAATAATAATGATAAGTCTGTACAAAACTGTGAACAAGAACTCTGGTTATAAATGACGGTAAATAAGCGCGATGTGTAAGCTGCAATGGTCATAACGATTCTGCCGAATTCTCCATCGGCTCTTCTCAAGGAAGAAAATAGGCACATGACCCTAAAAAGGCAAACAAGGGCCTACGCTTAAAAACGTTCGAACAAGCCTAGGTCTTCAAGGACCTCCAAAACTTTCTACGCGATTTATGGCTTTACTGCCACACACACCAAAAATTGTTTCTGGTAAACGAATTTGTACTTTAACGTTTAAACAGATACTTTAACAAGTGTCCATATTTACATTTAAGAAATGATAAATCGTAAACATCCGCTGATAATTTTGTTTAGCTAAGCTATATGCTAATTGTACATATTTTTTAAAAGTGCTATTTGAGGCGGACGCCTCATTGCCTTACTCCTCGCATCGGTGCTGTAAAAAAGTCAAGTTGTTATAATTCTAAGAGAAAATAATTGCACTCGCGCTTTCTTAACATAGAATAAACTCACAATTTATTACACTAAATAATAGGCAAAAAATATATACAGGGTTTGTCCAATAAGTATCCGGATTGATGTCCTAAAATGAAATGCGTTGAAGATATACGTACATTGAGTTAATAATCTTCAAAGTATGCCCCTCCTGCATCAATACACCGTTGCCAGCGGGTTTTCCATTGTTTATACGTTTCCTGGAAGTCGGCAAGCGTAAGACTGTTCAGGCACTCCGTCGAAGCCGCTTGAACCGCCTCAATCGTCC